GCGTGCGGCAAGGGGCCGAGGGGCGGTGGGCAGGGAAAGGAGCCTCTCAACCCCCGAGACCTTCCTTCTACTGCTTTTTCTTCTCAACAGGTTTAATGCGAAGAGGATGGGGAGAACTGCCTCACATCCGCATTGTGTGTGGTTTTCTAGTTTTCAGCTCTGAGGATCAGCTGGATCTCTGAGAGGCAACATCTCCTGCATCTGGCCGGCCAGCACCCCGCTCCCTGCCTCCAGCCCCTGCTTGTGTCCTTTCAAACTTTTTTTCTCAATAATTTCAAACCATATCATTGTTACGTACCTTCACTGTGAGCATCTTCCCCAGGCCTCACGTTACTTTTTCCTCTCTGTGCTGCACTGCAGGGATTTCACGGACAGGCTGGCTGATCTAGGGCGACCCTGTCCTGCCAAGAGAAAACTGGCTGATAAGTTTCATTTTATTCTGGAGCCTGGGTGAGAGACAGTAGTCGGCAAAATATATTTGCTGAAAATAATAAGTCCTAAATATTTCCTGTAAGTGAATTATTACAATAACCACCAATATAAATTCCAAGGTTATTGGCAGCCTGCGGCAGCTTCAGTCAGCTCTGAACGCTGGTGGACGTGCAGCAGAGACTGGTGGGATGGGAAGGTCCTACGTCCCCAAAAAGAAAGTCTCCCTCAGTCTCCCTGGCACAGCTCCTCACACTTCCCTTTGGTGCCACATAAGTTTTCATTCTGGACAAACCATAAATCTTAGTTTATTGGTACAATAGTTCTGGTCTTGTATATAAACTTCTTGGACTACACAATGCAAGTAATAAAGAGTGTTGAGAATTGTCTGGAATGAATTAATAGTTTAACTATGTTCATCACGGTCCAGGAAATATAGCATATGAAACAATCCTGTAGTGGAAGAGAAGTGTTTAGACAACTTACTGCTCTTTTCCACCTCTTACTTTATGGTTCATTTAGATTCCCAGTTCATTCAGCGTCTCAAATCAGCTTAATAATGTTGCCATTGACAATGCACTGACGGCAAGAGGATAATTCAAATCACATCAGTGATATTCAGAATTTTAATTTTCTTAGCTTTAAGGAGCAACTACGTCTTGTGGGGAGGTATTAAATATTTTTTGTTGCTGGGTTATTGCTCCTTGCCTATTATCAACAGATAATGAAGGAGGTAGACATATATAGGATCTGATCATGTTTGTATGGCTGAAGAACTGTTAGGAAAAGGGGCAGGGAGAGTGAAAATGCACCTTTTTGGAGGATGTGTATAGAAATCTAAGACTAATAATTAAGGGTCTTGGCTACAACATCAAATCAGACACACTGAAAGCATTTTAAAACGACCCAAGGTCTTTTCACAAAGGAATTCAGTCATCTAACTCCTGAGGAAAGGAAATAGAAACCAGATACTGAAATATCTTTGTGAATCTGGGCCTCAAACCATTTTGCTGAATAATCTAAACACAGGTTAATTGCCTAAATATTTTAGAGGAGGTGGGTCTAAAGAGCTAAAGTCTGCTTCTCTTTCAGTGTGATGAGGGCCATGGTCCCAGACCTTGGCTTACAGACAAGTCCCTCCCATGTTGCCTTGATGGCAGTGGTTTAAAAAATAAACCTGAGATCAATAGGGCTGACAGGATATAATGTCATGCATGGTTTGACACATTAACAAGATATTGCAGCATATGCTTTGTTCAGTAATGTTGTTTGCAGGGGGGCTGTGGTTGGGAACTAGTGAATTAAGACTGCATTCACCTTTTAGTACAGGTTAGTACTGTGGAATAAGCTCAAAATGCAACCACTGTTACCTGGCCTGTTTTCATGGATTTGAACTCAGCTATCCCAGCTCGTGAAGGAGTGAGCTTTCTTTCGATAGGATTAAGCTGAGTTGTGAGGGTGCACTTATAGCCCAGAATGGTGGATCTGCATCTGAAGGCAATGCGGAGTAGGTCTTGTGCTCTTACACGGTCACCTCGGTTTACTTCACAGTGTGCATAATCCTTTGGACTCCGTATAACTATAGCCAGGTCTGCCAAGTGACTAAGCTCCAACCACAGCACCCTGGAGCACCTGCTTAGTGTTTCATCTCAGCCTGGAGCTGCCACCACCCCCTGCACCCCTAGCAGTGCATCTGCAGGGACAGCCACGGGCAGCATCATGGCTGGTGATGTGCCTTGCTCATACACCGAGCTAGCTGGCTGTGACCCAGGTCTACTTGACAGTGACCGCGCGGTGTACTTGAGCTCATTAGCCTTACTGAAAGGCAGGTAAATATACATTAGGCCACGGTGCTATGCTAGCAGCTGGATGTGATTCCTGGCACGATCACATTCTTCCCTGCGTTTAGAGCTAAGTCCTTTTCCTCTCAGTACTACTCACTCTATTGAGTATAGAGATGTTGGGGTGAAAAATTACAAATAGATGGTAGTGTGCCTAAAACATAGGTGTTGTAATGATTAATCTTTATCTTCATTATTGGCTCAGTCCTGAGTGCCTAAACAAAGGGATCTGTCTACACGGAAAACTATTGGGTTACACATTTAATCTGGCATGGTTGCGTTACTGTAACCCTTCAAGCCTCTATTCTTATTCTGATATCTGAGTACTTTTTTTGATTTACAATTATATCATTAAATTAAAGGATGCAGCTTACCTAGTTTACTTTTCTTTTATCAGAATTTGATTGACCATGTAGAAAATTACACCTTTACAGTTATATGTTTACAATAGTACTGAAAATAGCTACACGTATAATTATACTGAGATAAAACATAGTAAAGTGAAGGTCTTACACACATTAATTACTTACTTAAACTTCTGAAAATGTTACACCTAGGTTATCTCCCACTCAGATTATGGGAAAATTCCCATGAATTTCAGTGGGACTTACGCTTAGTCTTTAAACAGAATTGCTGAGTGATAAGGAACTTGTAGTGTTGATCATCTCTCTCCACCATTTTCTCTTGTGTAATTAAGGCAACAATGACAGCCATAAAAAGTTTCAAAAAGGATAAAAATTTGTCTGTATTTAGGAAACCTTTAACCATCTAAAGGATATCTCCAGCGCATTTTTAAAACAGGAAGAAACTGTGCCTGAACTGGAAATATTGCTTCTGTTTGAAAGTGTGCTTCTGAGGACACAGAGGATTAACTACGAATAGTATGTTCTTATGCCAGACTGGTGCAAAATGTTGTTTAAAACCATGTTAGTTAAAACATGTGGGATAGTTCAACACATAGGAATGTGCTTTGGACTGTGACCCATCTTCATAGTTACAGTGAAGCCTAAAGAGCTGATATCTTTGTAGGACAAAGTAACTAACACAGCTAAAGCAAACCTCCTGCAAATGAAATAGGACTACACTCTTGTTCAGAATACAAGAAAAAAGGCTGTTCCTCCTGGGAAGCTTTCAGCTTAAGACAAGAGGCAGATGGATGCAGAGCAATTGAAAAAGCACATGCAGAAAATGAAAGCCAGCAACAATCTTAACTGTTGCTGAGATTTTTGTAGGTTTCAGAACAAGGAAAGATGTAATGAACTGGGAGAATTTTACCTGGGAGCACAGTTAGGAACAACATATACTAGAGAAAAGAATTTGCAATGTTTAGGTTGGCCTTGATACAAGATCCCGAAAGTGGATTTGAGTCAAAAACAGTCCCCCGTCATGCCGAATGCACTCTTTTCAGAGGCAGACATCATCTGAATCACTGATTCTGGAGAACAGAAGCCATCTTCTGGTTGAATGAGTTTTGGGACAAAAGCGCATGTACCTGAAAGCAGCAGGGTAGAAAGCTGTGCGTGTTTGATTTGTTTTTTCCCCACACATTGTTTACTCATTTAAAGGCAGTACATTATATTCTGCTTTCTGTGTTTCAGACATCTGCTATTTTCCTTGTTCATTTACCATTTAATTATTAGACTTCTTTTTGCTTTGCAACAATTCTGGTACCGTGAACAATCAATCAATTAATTAGCTGCAGAAAAAAAGAATAACAAGATGTCTAGCTAATCCACAAGCTATAATATGAAAAGAAAAGGCAGCCTTCTGAAGTAAATGAGCATAAACAACATCAAACAACTATACAATGAAGACAAAATCTATCATCAGGAGGCCAAAATCCCAGAAACTGAAAGCCTAAATTCCCTGCTGAAGGGGAAGGGAGAGGATGAGAGAGAGAGTGCGGAGTGAAGAGAGGTAATTACAAACATCGGTGCATTTTGCAGTTTCCACCATCTTAAGCCATACATGTCCTGGCAGCTCACACGTATTTCCCCAGCGGAGGCTGTGCCATGTGGCTGGCATCAGGCCGGGGGGGCTCCTGAGGCTGCCCCTGCCGATGGGTCGCCCCACGGCTGGGCTGCCCCCCATCATGCTCTGGAGCAAAGTGACAGCACCCATGGGAGGTCACTGCCACCTCTGTCACTTTCCCTCACCCGCGAAAGTACCCATTGTGGCTTCTGGCCCACAGTGATTTCACTAGGATGCTTACAGGAGAGCTGGCCTGTTCAATGACGGGCGGTCACTGGCGGATCGCAGTCGGCACCCTGCAGGAGAGCGAGCCGTACCAACCGGTCCCCACCAACAGCAGCTTTAGAGGCTGAGGTGACAGCAGCCAAGTGCAAATCAGATGCAGTGCAGCTAACCAACAATGTGGAATAACAAGTGACAAACTGAATACTTACAGCCTAAAGTGAATGTACATATTCATGCCGCGATCTTGAAAAATATTATTCAGCATGTCAGCAGTAAGTTTAATTTCCACATGAAACTGACTGGTTTTTTACTACGGTACTAGTTAAGAGTTTCCACGGCAGAGAGAATATCCAGACAGCTAGAGATGTGATAGCAGTATTTAATGCCTACTCTTTTTGCTTGTCATGTTTTATCACATTGCTTGGATGTAAAAAGATCTGAGTTGTTGTAAAAAATCTTTTCCACTCACATGAGGTTTTCTAGTATGGAAACTCTGTGATTGTCAGTACTGAATATCTTTAAGTGTAAAAAAAACACAGAGTTATTTTGCTAGGTTAGCTCACTGTTTAACTTTCTGACCATTTTTATACATTAAATGTATATCAAACTTTCAAGTTTAGTCTGAGATCTAGGAGCTTTAGGAAAGACTGAGGAAAGAATTGGGGATTTCAAAGTAGAATTAGAGTAGAATCGTTTAATGACCAAAGGTTTCTCAGATCCCACTAAAGTTAACAGAAGTTAAGGACACTAAAATGATAACATATGTCTGGGAGAAACCTAACTGCAATGAGAGGCATATCAACAGAGTAATTCAGGAAAAGCTTTCCTGGAATGACTATTTATGAAA